ATTATTTATTCCTTTGCAGCTTTTCCTTTCAGACGATGTGGGACAAAGACCAACATGACCAACCATGAATAAACCAACATACAAGGTGAGAGTTTTTGGGTAAGCATCATTTTACCAGTTAAGACATGCTGTGGATTTACAATTCTTTCTAAAGCCGTTTCATCAATACAGTACATACACTTCAGGCCTAGGCTATGTTCATAATGATAAGTGATGGTTACTAGATCCAATTATGTTGCAACTTGAACCATAGAGTGACCAGCACACTGATTCAGCCATACAGCAAACAGATGCTCTCAAATGAATGGAAATGACTTAAATGAAAACAACACCAACAACAAAAAGACTGTACAAGAGACAACTATCACACCTGCAGCATGCAACTATACCACAGGTCACACCAGTAGGCATATCTGTCTTTGCCATTGCTTTTCAGTTGACTTGGTGACGCAGGAATTCAGATGTGATGAAAGATGGGGGAACAGATAAGGCACTGCCACAGTGAATGGCTCTCCATGCTGCCCAGGGCCTCTCAATGCCAGATGGGCTGTAAACAATGACCCATTTGGGCATCTCCAACTTTGTTTACCTTTTTTTTCATCTGTGCAGACAAGGAGAAGATGTGTTATTACACATGTTAATCCAGAGAGAAAGCATGGTATCATCTTGTCAGATGAGAGTGCAATCTAAATCTATGATTACAGTGAAATCCAGCATTTGGAGTGAAGAAACAGATCTAGTGAGTAAGCTGCTGGGTTTGTTTGGTTCAAGAAATCCCTAATCTTCAGCAAAGACAGGCGGCCTGATAACACTGCCATGGCATCATTGCCAACTCTGCAGTCACAAGCTGAAAAAAGAGATTTAATCTACAAAATAAGCTCACTGCCAAATACCTGAGAAGTCTGCAAAAGGTCAGAAGTAAACTGTCTGCAAGTGTGCACACAGCATTCAACACTGAGATAAAAATCAATAAACTGAGCCACAAGTGGTGGAAAGAAAAAGTTTCCAAAGTTTAGAAACTCAATTCCAGAGAGCAATAATGATTAAGACAAAGTAAAAAGAATCACAGGATGTGTTTCTTCTCAACAATGAAAGGACTGAAAACAGGCAGTCTTCTCTCACATTAACATCCTTGCATGAGCCAGGGCCATCTGTGATATGCCAGCAGCCTGGCACAGAAACAGAGATGTGGGGGAGATGGGCATGAACGGGAAGGGGCAGGGCTAAGAGAGAGAGACGAGGGAGGAAGAGAGCAAAAACAAACACGAGACCAGATTAAAATTTCTAGGGAGGAAAGCCATGTGACCACGAGAAGGTGAGAAAACAGTGGAAAATCAAGAGTGATATCTCATGTTTCTCTGTCTTCCATGGGGGTATCTCCTGTTTTCCACAACAGTTTGCTTGGAATGGCAAAGCTGGCATCATACACATGCACACGTAAGATTTTACCCCCATGTTGTTTACTCTGACCTACTTCAGGTGCAAGCTTAAGACTTGCTGAAACCTGCACTTTATTATTTTGTTGAATATGACCAAAAAGATCTTGTGTGATAGTGGGCAGGAGAGCTCTGAGTCTGTGCAGCGATTTTTACCATGCTATCTCAGGGTAACAGTATGAAGCAAGCTCAACACAGCTAAGCCCTCTTTGCATTAGATGGCTTGGAAAAACCAAGAAAGGCTAGAAAGATAATGGATATAATGGTGGTTATAAACTGTCTTTAACCACATTTTCCACGTGCTCGCATAAAAGACACTCACAAAACGAACAAATTGATTGGTGCCACAAAAAGGGTAAGAGAGGAATCCATCCATCCATCCATTTTTTTCCACTTATGTCATTCAGGGTTGCAGGGGGTTCTATCCCATGGGGCATAAGGTATACCCTGGGCAAGTTGTCTGTCAAGACAAGAATGCTGGCAGAGAATTTATTAATGGCATAGTTATAATTTCTATCATATTTATCTTATCCAGTGCATGCCCATTGCTGGTGTTTACTTCTAACATAAAAGCTGCTCATTAGAACGTCATACGTTTAAACATGAAACACATGAAGTACATTTGCACTTTCAGTGACAGATACCTGGAAATTACTTTGGCTACTTTGAATGACTCATTTTACTGAATGAATATACTCTGTGATTCTCTGTAAATACCAACAGAATAAAACATGTTATTATCTGTGTTCGTTTAGCTGCAATACCTGCAGTATAAAACAGGCTTAGTAACAAATACAGACCGAGAAGAGAAACAATTTTATGCGCTTTTACAGCTGATATAGACGATTCACTGCAGTCTTCAGACACATGTTGCTGTTCAGAGAAAAAAAGAAATCCCAGCTGGAATCAGAATAGAATAAATTCAAAACATTCAAAAACAACTGTTGAGGTTTTCTGCAGAATATCTCAGCTTCCTGAAAGTACCAGCAATCCCACTTAATGGTGTATTATAGAGATGCTGGCAGAGACTGATCTGCCAGTACAAATGTGCCTCCGGACTGTATGTGCTGACCGTCCTGGTTATATATATATTTTTTTTTAAAGCAAACTGTGTAGTAAGCCAAAACAACACCAAAGAACCCTGCACAACAGCAATCGTGACATCCGTTTTGGCACTGGCTGCTGTGCACAAAGAAGAAAACAGCTTGCATGCACCACCTGTGAGATGTGCAGTATATATATTACTATGGTGATCGAGTCAGGTTCAAAGAGCTCCACCTTGAAAAGTCTGCCTTTAGGCTCAATATACACTACAATCCTATTGATCTCACTTCTTAGTTCATCTCTCCAGTGATTTCATCCTGATTACAGCTTGACAGACAATAACATTGAGGATGTTGATAAAGCCTACTGAAGCTACTCCTTCTTCTACTTTCTTTAGGAGTAAAGAATCTCATTTCCCGTACTACAGTCTGCAGATTATTACAAATGCCCATAATTAAGAAGTGTGCTGTTGGTCTAACTGCACAATGCAGCAACTCTAAACTTAAAATTGAATTCAGACATTGTGTAATATAGCAGTGTAAATACACACTGAAACATCCAGAATGACAGATTAAACAATGTTCAAGTAACTTTTCCACAAAAACTTCAAGCTTCTCAAATGTAACTTTTAATATGTTTGCTTGGCCCTTTAAAAAATAAACGAAACACCTTGGAATTTAGACAGGACAAGATATCTGAAATGTCAATTAATCCAATACTGTTTTATAGTCACTCAGTCTATAAAACATCAGATAAGGAAATTAATTGTCTTATATTTTGTATTCTGTGACCAACAGCAAAAATTCCAGAGTAAAAATCATTTGGGAATGTGTAATTATGCACAATAAATAGTTTCAACTGACTCATTAATCAATAAACGGCTGCAGATTAATTCTTCAGATATCACTAAGGAGGCAAGGAAACTCCTTTGTAAGACATTTAATGATTCAAATGGCCAATTAAGAAAATAAATGGATAATAATTACCTAAACTGCATCTGCTATGACAGTTTAACAACACATGAAAGAGTTCTGCCTGTTATTTTGTTTATCCAACAGTACCTAATGGAAGACCTTCAGCTCAAAGCTACAACAGTGTATATAAGATGACTACATGATCACTTGAATCATGATTAACATCCATTGTCAACTGTCCACTAGAGGGAGTTTTAATCTGTCTGTAGGGAAAAATAAAATAAGAGTACATAGATCCCTCTTCCACATTCTCCATCCACTGGACTGAACTACAGCTTTGTGTTGTCCAGTTGAGGAAAGCTCGGGGCTGCTTCCTGCTGTCAGCGTGCATGATATCATCATCCAAATGAGGCCTTCGAGTCTCAGTGTGTCTTTGCATGCTCAACAATGGCATGCTATCTTTAAAGTCCTTTTATGTGATGCTATGTGTCACTGCGCTGTAATGCTAAAGTCAGACAAAACAGGTTTAATTCCTGCCAGTGGATGAAGTGGTTTGCATTCTTTCATCTCGCACAGTACTGACGCAGCATGTTTTCAGTACCCTAGGCAAAGTATTCACTGAGGCCACTGACTGCCACAAGGCTCCCAGCAGGCTATGGGGCAGGTTCAGCTGCTTCCTGTCTGCTCACCTCCTGTTACACAGAGGGTGTGATTGCAGGGAGTAGCACCACTAATAACATGCAGACACACTGCTGGGAGAGAGCGAACCGGCATCTCCTGCACTGTCCACTTCAATAATTGAGCTGAGTGTCATCATGCAATCAGCTGGCCAAACTGCCATGGAAAATTAAGGCTGTCTGAGCACACACAATGTAAAATAAATCCTTTACAAAATTATCTAAATAGGGAGGAAAAAAATAACAAATCACAGGACATGTTTTTGTACTTTGAGGGGGCCAGTCATGCTGACTATAGTCCCCCTTAAGCCTCCTGGGAGAGGGAGAGAGAATAATCCTTGTTGCAGTCTCAGAAGGATGGAAATAATTAGTTAATACCTTTGCACAGTCTAAGCTTGTGATTTCCTTGTGTCTATGTAACGCAAGAAAATGAACTCCCCTTGTGCATTTGCGAAACTGTCGATCGCCATACTTCAGCGATGGTATGTTCCTCCATGTCATGTCTACAGCTACTGCTTGTCAATCAGTCTTCCAGTGTAAACCATTTAAAATTTAGTGGTGACCAATTTGCAACTCAGCATACTCCTTCATGAGACTAAAGGCTGATTGACAGCTCCCTGAAGACATCTCCATTACACTATCATGATGAGTGAGAACACAGAGGAGAAAAGATAGAGGGCTTCCTGTGGGAGTCAGGCATTCTTCCAGTAATATTAATCACGCATATATTTATCGTAGAGGGAAAAATGTGAAGATACTTTTAGATAGCTCTGGTCAGCATCCATCTCATGGATTAAAAATGTGACAAATGAGCCTTTTTTTCACAGATGTGAAAAAGATAATTGTGCCTTGTCTGTAACTGCTGCATACACAACGAATTGGTGTCACAGAAATCTTGTTAATGAGATGAGACAATTTTACTGCCTTACCTGCAGCTCACACCAGGCCACCTCCACCCAGGTCTCAGTATCCAGGCCTTTGTAGACTGTCTTGAAGGAACCTCTCCCCAGCTCTATGTCAAATTTAAGGAACCTTCCCCCTGGAGACGTGGAGACTGCCTTCATCTCTGCCTCCTCCTCATTCTCCTCACTGGCTGCCTTGACAGCAGCTTTACCACCATCACTGCATGTAACATTTAACACGTCTCCACCTTTCTCCTTGTCCTCATCGGCGCTGGCGCTCTCTGTTGCACTGTCTTTAAGCCCACCTTGACTTTCAGTGCTGGATCCCTCCTGTATCCCACAGCTGGTCCCCCTAGACCTGTCCACAATTGTTCGCAGGTTAATGTTTAGGATCTTACTCCTGTTATTACATTCAGGTGCTTCAAAGGCCTGCTCATCTGTGTCTGAAAACCACAAACTTCTCCTGATGAATCTCTGATGCACAATCCTCTGATAACTGGAGGAAGGATATGCGCTGGGGTCACTCCCACCTCTCACTACAGAGTCCACAAGACTGACGGGTCCATCACCCATGGCCTCGCAAACATTTTTGCCCGGTTCACACTGAGACTTGGTTACAGGCGAATTTCTCAGGTCTTGATGGTCCCCGGAGCCTGATTTAGACTCCGGCTCCATGGTGACTTAAAAGTTCAGTCGCCTTGATTTCCAGGTCATTCGTGCCATCACGGGTAGACTTTCCAACACGCAGATCGACAGATGAATACCTGCAGCGCCCACTCGGTGACGCAGTTTGCCGGGAGAGGCCCTTAACAACACTGGGATGGATGACATAGACAAGATTTTATCCGCTAATAATAATAATAATAATAATAATAATAATAATAATAATAAAAAGAACCTGCAAAAGAAATGCGATATGCCCCAGTTATACAGTATTGCTAAAGCTATCGATGGGCGTTAAGCATGGTAATAATCACTGAGGTGAAGTTAGCTGCTGTCAGTAAGAGGGGGTTGACAAAAAGACAAGCCCAGGAGTTAAAGCATTGCTTCCAGAAGCCATCGTCGTCCAGGTGACCGAGAAACTAGCAAGCTGGCTTCGGCGACATAAGTTTGGCAACTAGCTAACACTAAATTCCCCCCCAGTATACCCACAATATTATCTTACGTTCAAATACTGACATAAAAAAATAAGGCACGACTTACCTTGTTCAAAAAAGGGGCATAAAAAACACCCTCGAGTAAAACTGACGCTAGTGACACACAGCAGAGACAAACCTGCCAGGTCCAGTAGCAGCACTCAAAAAAAACCTCGCCAACGTTAGCCGACTGTCCACGACAAAAGGTGGACTTCAAAAACGCCCTATCTGCATATTATCTCCATTTTCAAGCACAGGAGCCGCCCCAGCGACCGCAAACAAATTCGGTCTTTCTTAACTGAACACATACCACATGCTGACAAGAAATAACTGACGAATCTCTTGTATTTATCTCCTTTTAAGTCCCCGCATCCCTCTCTTCGGTTGCAGCTCCCAATGCGACTCTCCCCACTGTTTCTTCTTCTTCTTCGCTGCCGCGTAAGTAAATAGCACACACGGGTCGCTTTAAGACTCGGGGTTTTTTTTATTTTTCCTGTAGTCCCCTCGGTAGTTAACTTAAAACAACAGCTGTTTGCGCTTGTCATCGCCTTCCACCATTTGGTTAGTGCACCGGTGAGGTACACCAAATGTGTTTCCCATTCAGTTCGCTTGGCTCCACGCCCCTGGTGAGGACTATAGAAGGGAGGAGGGTGGAGGTGGGGGGAATGGTCCATCCAATCATACGACACTCTGGGACGCCACAGAAAGCCTACTCATCATATTGCTGTGCTGTCCAACAGACAGAGTGACACGGGGTGAGACAAAGGCTGATTAGAGTCAGTGCAAGTAAATTACACAGCAATTAAAAACATAAATAAATAATTTCTCACGCCCTTTGCAGATTCAGTCACGTGTCTTAACTCCCGAGCCTGCTGTTGAAACAACATTTTTCCATTATCACTGCTGTTGTGTCACTATAATATAGTAGTTACACGTGCATCAGTAGCTCTGTCACGTAGCCTTGGCTATGTGCTTGCGGGTCCAGTCTTCTCTACCCCTACAGGATATTTTGCCACTTTGCTGCAGCCTGCATCTGAGGTGTAGCAGCTCTTCGCACAGGGCAAAAATGAGCAGCAGCATCAACAGGTTAAGTGGCACCGAGGTAAGATATTTGCAGCCCCTTTTTAACATTCATCGAGGGAAAATGTAAATCCTCTGGTTTATAAATGTCTATAGGCTAAGTAGATCGATCTTACAAATTGACATGCTCACAAGTGCAATAAATAAAAGATGCACGAAGAAAGATTACCTGATTAATAAGAGTATTCTTGCTGTTTTGCATGCTTTTATACAGTAGAATAGAAGGAGTGTTAATACAGTGCAAACATGCACGAACCGCAAAGCAATCGCTTGGATATGGGCACTTGGGAAATGTGCTGTCATGCAATCATCTTTGTTTGGGTTGAATTTTTTGTTGCAAGAAGTGTTGATTCATTGTCGTGGTCATTTCTGTACCCAGAGTTGTCGGTTGTTACTTTTTATTGTAAGCCGATCGTGTAAATGTATCCACCTCCTGCGGTTTCTGCGCTTCCATGCCACTTCTGTGCCTTTTCTCATGTTACATGTCATCTGCATGTGAGGTACATTCAGAGGTGCATAAGCTTTGCAGAATAGAATTGGTGCTGAAGAAGACGGATTTTATGTCTCTGCAGAAACATTTGACCAGACATCTTAAAGTCTTTTGCAGGCATGCTGGGTCAGATGACAGTCTGGTCTGGCTTAGGGGTGAGGCATTGTTGGTATCTGAGTGACCTTATAAACAATGAATGCCCTCCTTTGTTACCAGTGCACTGGCTTAAATGCACACATAAAAACAGACACAAGGTTTTCCTTTTGTATTACATCATCCTGCTTCATGCCACAACTGTAAAGCTCACAGATTGATTACTTGAGTTTATTAGGCAATTGAAGCTGCCATTTAAGAGTAGTTCAGTCCTGCATCTAATGTGCAGCATCCAGTTTTACAGGGCAGGGAAATGGACTTCACTCTGTTATCCGCATGGTCACTGTCTTAATAGCGCCATTTAATTTCAGATGTGTGTGTGTGTGTGTGTGTATTTGAGGAAGAAGGCAGGAGGAAGAGAGACCCTGGCAGCCACAGATACTTCCTTGCAACAGTCAGAGCTCAGCCAGCATTTGCAAAATGTAATACCCTTACGCTCGATAAAATGAGCAATTGATCTCATTTACAATGTGTCCCCCACCAGTGTGAGTCAATATGAGTGTTTTTTTTTTTTCAATCCATGGCTCTTGTAGGGTGAATATCTCACAGGAAGACTTTCTGCAGGCTTTTAATATCCTTGCCTGCCTTTCACTGAAATCTAAGACCGATGAGATGAGTCAGATTTCACTTTCTTTGATAACCCGTAGTTTAAATTGCAGCTTTTCACTAAATGAGAAAGTGTTTTTGATTTGTTTGGGGTTTTTTTTTTTCCTACCATAAGTGTCTTAGCTGCATAGACCACACTCAGAAACAGTCATGTTTGCTTTGCTTTGTGCAAGGCTGTAAAACTAAAAGCTCTACAGAGATTCATGGAAATTAGATTTACAGTTGGGTCGATTGTCATCTGGAAGCTGGCCAGATTTTGAGGTGAGTGAGAGAAGAAGGCTGCTGATAGGACATGATGGATGGAGAGCAAAGAAGTGCTTATGCACGAAGAAAAAAAAAGTAAGGGAAATACTCACTTATGCAGTTAGAGTTAATTTAGCGTTTCATCATATAGCTGAACACGAGCTCAATTAACTAAATAATAAATGTACGGTTTCACTGTCTTAAGTGGTGTCTTGCTTTGTTGCCTTGAAGAGCTTTCTACATGTCAGACACAGAGCTTAACAATACAAAGCTAAAGGCACTGCATACTCTCTAAGTAACTTACAGGTGGTGTAATCAGTTAGTGTGACGACATGGGAAAAGGAGAAAAGTTTAGGATTAGGTGTGCAAGTTGAATGAGTTCATTTAGTTTTTTGGGAAATCAGCCAAAACGTTCATTTGCTTCTGAATACACAATGAAAATGGATTTATTGGATCTGAGGTTTGGGTTAAATCACGGGAATTAAGAAATTGCAGTCTTTCCAAAGTTGTAAAAAGCATGTATTATACAACTCTGCATCTAGCTTTAGCATTAAAAAAATATGAGAAGTAGGGAATGTGAATATAAGGGTCTTTTATTTGTTTTTCACCCTTGGTAATCCTTTGCATTCTGCAACCCGGGTTGAAAGTTAAAATAATGTCATATTTTCTCATTCAATTCAATTCAGCTTCAATTTTATTTATATAGCGCCAAATCACAACAACAGTTGCCTCAAGGCGCTTTATATTATAAGGTAAAGACCCTAGAATAATACAAAGAAAACAGAGGAAACCCCAACAATCATATGACCCCCTATGAGCAAGCGCTTTGGTGACAGTGGGAAGGAAAAACTTCCTTTTAACAGGAAGAAACCCCCAGCAGAACCAGTTTTATTCTCAGTTTTATTTATGTGATTTATATGAATGATTTCAATTGCTCAGTTAAGCACTTAGGTCAACATTCATTGTTTAAAGAAGCCTTATATAAATAACTTACTGGTTAGCTGGTTTCCCTTCTCATTCCCACATTGTAGTGTTAGTGACACCTTACAGCAGAAACTGAATAATGTTAAATATTATGACATGATTTCCTCTGTTATTCCACAGTGACACATAACTGAGAGTTAAGATCCAAACAACTTTTATGTCTCTGACTATCTCCCCCTCCCTCGTTACCTTGCTCCTTCTCTCCCCTTGGTGTATCTCCCCCGAGACTGATTCAGACTAGAAATGCACTGTGAATAATTCATCACAAAAATCAGCACTGAAACCTAGAACCAGTACAGCACAACTGATTTAATGAGAACTTTTCTTTTTTTTCTCTACAGTTTAGATAGCTATAAATCTGGTGTGCCTAGATGACTGACAAGCACTGGGTTTCTCTGGGATATAAAATTCTTTCCAAAAATGCAATTGTGAGTTGTCTTCCACTTTTTTTCCCCCAAATATTATTCAAACGAAAACCAGGATCACATTCTCTTTTTAAAAAAAAAATTTGTAGCATGTTATCCCTCCACTCCACTCACAGCTGTTGAGTAAGACATATTATAAGAGCCTGTATTTGCTATCGTTTTTGCACTGAATATCTCCTCTACTGTCATTAGTTGTTGTGCTATTTTGCCAGCTGTATGATGCGAGTAGCTTGGGCAGACAGAGGAAATGACCTTTAGATTTGGCCTACACACATGTCAAAAAGGAGGAGTTCTTTTTTGGAAAAAATTCACCTCCTGCGTTTCTAGACATAGTGACTCCATATTTCCAACCTGCGATCTCACAACAAGTATTATCTCGCTGTGGTCTGTTGACTCTGGGATAAAGGGCTGTATTTTTTGAAAAACCCATGTCAGTGTGTGAGAGCAGAACGGCTGACCCTGACACGTCATGACAGTATGCCATTTGTGGTATTTGGAGCAGATCACAGTCACAGGACACCCTGCCACACCACATTGCTTTACAGCAAAAATGCATGTTTGCCTTCACAAAGCATGTCCTAAAATGTGTTTTAATTCCTCATTGTGAAGGTGTAACACAGTGCAGTGGAGCTTTGAGTTGAAAGGATTTGGAAAAAACACATTTTGGTTTTTTGTTTTTGTTTGTTTTGTTTTTTTTAACATTTGCTGGATACTGCCGAGATGTCTCTGAAGTGTTCACATGAATCTATGATAAAGCATAAAAGTTAAACGGATAAGTAGACTGCCAGATGATGAACTTGTCCAGTAACCCATTTAATATATCTTCTAAAAAGCAGAGATTTATTAAGAGAATTAAACATGGCTTGTCCAGTGGTTATCACAGGATTGAAAAAAAAAATTATCAAAATAATTACTGCAACCAGAGTACCAGATCATTACCAACCACACCTTCTGTTCAGAGTGTACTTCCCCTCATACATCAAGTTAACCCATGCCAGTTGATTGCTGTGAATCTCTTAAATGCATTGTAATTCAGCTGTAGCCTTATCCATGGTAAATTAGAGGGTGCAGCTTTTCTTTCCTTTCTTTTTGTCTTTATCCCTCGAGCAGAGGGAAGACAGCTCGCACCACTTCTGCAGTTTGGTTAATCTCAGACAAACTATGCTCTCTGCAGCTGCAGGGAGTGTTATGATAAAAACGGAAGATTTTGGTGTTCAGGAAGAGACTGCTGATTTTTTTTTCCTTCTCAAAGAAAGAGGCATTGGCATTCATGCTTTGACCTTGTCACCACTGAATTTTAAAATGTGGTTCTCAGGTGTAATGAGCCAGCATTTTTTATAGAGACAGACTCCTTATTCACCAATAAGATAACTTTTTTTCCAGAACCTTCTGGTCCAGTGGATATGTATGGTTCTCTCTTTGCAGTACATAGTCCACTGACATGGAGTGAACACACAAACACACTCACAACTCAGCTAATCTAATGTTGCATCACGCTCACCCACACAAGAATCGATAGGTTACACAACTCAGAGTAAAAGTAACTTTCTTAAACGCTTTTGGTCAACACCTGCTGATTAATCATAGAAATGCACGATGAGCCATGAGCAGGACATCACAGAAACTACTGAAGAAAGTAGACAAGAGTTAATAAGATGCAGCAGTGGCCTATGAGTGTACGGGAAGTAAAAGCGAGGAGCGAAGAAGAAGTGCTCAGTGCATCCACTAGCACCCTGGATTTAGAGCAGCATAACTAAAGGAACTTGATGAAACTCTTAGATTTGTCAAAAAGGAAAGTGAAAGATTAATTTTAAGAGTAGAGAGGGTGTCTTTCTTCAGAACCAAAAGTAGTTTTCACAAGTAGAGTAGGTTTCACAAGAGAAGGTCCTGATCCTGAAGGGTCTAACTGCCAAAAGATGGGCAAACTGAGGTAAACTGCTATCATATAACACTGGTTCTTTTTGGCTTTGCTCAGCCCATTTCTGCAGCTGCCCATCAAGCGTCAAGAGAATGTGATATGGGCAGAATATGAACAAAGGATCACTCTATCACTCTACACTGATAGTTTTTTTTACAGATAAGAAAATCAATCATTTGACTGTTTTGATTTATAAAGTCAACAAACACTGGAATAGAGGGCAACAAGTGCAGCGCAGGCTCATAGAAGCAGTATAAAATGCCCAGAGCTCAATGCTCATATGACACTAGCGAAGGAGAAAATGTGCAGACTGAAAGTGATCGTTTGAAACTATTCGCAAAAACCTCATATGCTGACTTGTCATGTTTTAATGGTACTGTTACCAGATTGCCAGTATCTCTTTGCTGTACTAATGGCTCTGTTTTCAAAGGTCACTCTTCTGTAACGGCTGGTGTTGTTCTAATTAGGTCAGAATGATAACCAGATCCTCACAATCCGTGCTCAGGAAACACAAAATTACTGCTAGTCTCATCAAAATTATGCCTTGTTGGCTCTACTGGAAGAACAAAACACAGCACAGAGCAAGCCTTTCTGCTTGTTTCCCAGCGTTCTTCTTTCTGTCATTATCTGCAAGCCATAAACATTATCTCTGTGCCAATTACTCTCTTCTCTCCCCCAGACCACCCATCCAGATGCTTGGCCCAGAAGCCCAGCTCCTCTGAACATGAACCACTATGCCAATAAGAAGAGTGCAGCTGAGAGTATGCTGGATGTGGCCCTGCTGATGGCCAATGCCTCCCAGCTAAAAGCTGTGCTGGAGCAGGGGCCAAGCTTCCACTTTTACACCCCCACCATCACCCTAATCAGCATCTCTCTGTGTCTACAGATCACAGTCGGGGTCCTGCTTATCTTCATAGGTGAGAAAGTAAACATAGCCTGAGCCCTTCTGGTGTATCAGAGGTGTTTATGCTGTCTGGCATCTCAATCCTTTACTTGCCCACTTCATCCTTCCTATTCTAGCAAGATTACAGCAATCTATATGCCACCTTTTGCCCTACAATGCACCCCCTCCCCCATAAATGTCAAGTCTACTGACTCCTGACAAACAACCTATTAGGAGCTGGATTCAGTTACTATAGCAACCAGGACTGAGAGGTCAAAGGGTTCACTAGGTTTTACTGCTGATATCAGCACTGCTGGGAGTTGGGAGGGGTGCTGTGTATGTGTGTAAATGTGTCAATATGTGTCAGTATGTATGTATCGCCATGTGTTGGAACAAAGAGAAAAGCCCAAAAAGTGACAGATGCAGCAACAATGTTTTAGGAGCTCTGCTGATATCTCGGGTTGAAAAATTGGTGCGTGTAAATAAAAATAATAAGATAAGTTGGGGATAGATAAACTAATTCAGTTTTTTTTTTCCTGACACACTGTACAACAGGTTAATGAACTTTAAGCCAGTCACAATGACTCAGCTGTAGATGGATGAGTAAACAAAGTGAGTTTTGTTTGGTTAGTGTGAAACTAACAACCCCACATATCTTATCTACCTCCTCTGTGAAACTGCTGAAAAAAAATCTAAAAATAATCAATTATCAATCAGATATTTCAAAGCACGCCCAGATGAATATTTCCTCCCTTGTTGTTTAGATTTCAGCAAAAGAAATATTATATCATCATCAACATTGTTACAGTATGAGTATACAGTACAATCAGATATTATTAACTCTGACATTTGCACATTGAGGTATTCACATTAAAAACGTCACATGTCCATAAGACACATCCAGCACGTGAGAGTCATCACTCATTCATTGCCCCTTTGACCTCCTTCACCAGACTTAAACAGCACCCCTCGCCTTTACCAAAATATCACACACATTTCTTTCTCATTACTCTTTTCTTCATTTCCGTTTACTCTTCTGAACTTCTTTGGCCTCTCATCCTCACATCCCTCCCTCCCCGTTGGATCCAGCTCTCTCTAATGGAGCCAGTGGAGCGTGATGTGAACGGCCTACATACTGGCCACCCCAACCAGACTCTAGCCCCCACCAAGACAGATCAGATACACACACACACATCACAGGAAGGGTTCTTACGCTGTTTAACCTCTGGTAATTTCCATCAAATACACACACCCATGCACATATGCATGGCTACTGCACACCCATTTGTATGAATATGCATTCATGTGACCATTATTCACAGGCGACTCCCTGTACTGCTGATGACACCATAGTAATGTCTTTGTCACAACACTAATTTTCATAACATTTAACACATGCCATAATGCTATTAAAACACAAAAGAAATGACACAGTTGCATATAGGAAATACAAGCTTCCCTTGATCAGTTTTCTTCCCCTGTATTGTTCTTTTTCTGTGATTTGAACCTGACACTTGTTTTCTTTCCCTGTGTGACATTTATGCCTGCGATGTATAGTAAATGTATCACATCATATACATGTTTAATTTGGGGGACGCTATTGTTACAAATCCAATTCCAAAAAAGTTGGGAAGCTATGTTAAATGCAAATAAAAACAGAATGCAATGATTTGCATATCTTACAAACTCATACTTTATTCACTATGAAGAATAGAAAACGTATTAAATGTTTCAACTGAGAAACTATACTATTTTAACAAACGTATCGGGTGCCATTAGTAGCAACAGGTCTAAACAAAAGTTGAGACAGGGCCATGTTTACAACTGTGTAGCAGCGTCTCTTCTTTTAACAACAGTCCATATATGTCTTGAAACTTAGGAGACCAGTTGTTTTGTTCCATTCTTGTCTTATTCTGAAATATAGGATTGTAGCTGCTCAATAATCCTGGGTCTTTTTTTTTGCCACATTTTTGGTTTCCATGACAGTTTCATGTCTGTTTTTTTATGGCAGTGTCACCTGAGATTCCAAAGATCACGAGCATCCAGTATTGATTTTCATCATTGTCCCATGTGCACGGAGTTGTTTCCAAATGATTGGAATCTTATGATGACGTTATGAATTGTAACTGATAAGATGTTCAAAGTCTTCACGATTTACAAAGAGGAACACTATTCTGAAATTGTTCCACAATTTGTAGATGCAGTTTTTTTGCAGACTAATGAGCCTCTGCCTACTGCACCATTACTTTTGAAAAACTCTGCCCCTTTAAGATGATCTTTTTGTACTCAGTCATGTTACTGACCTGTTGCCAATTCAGCTAATTAGTTGCAAAATGTTCCTTAAGCTGTTTCATTTAAGTACTGCTTACTTTTAAAGCCTTTTGCATTTCCCTGTCCCAACTTTTTTGAGTGATCAAATTCAAAATGAGCTAAAATTTTTAATAACATAGTAAATTGATTGCAGTAGATCTAACTTTTTTGCCACGTTAATCTGAGTTTCCACTAAGTGAAAAATGAAAAACTGAATATTGCATTGTTTCCTTACATGCTTGCGTCATAAAATAAAAGACACAAATAGACGTATGAGCATTCTGAACCCAGAATTAAGTAAATATAGATTTGTGGTTGACAGTAAATCTTTGCACCATAATGAGTTGGCTTTAGTCCCAGAATAGAGTAGATTGTTGTGCAATTAGACATTATCTGAGTTGTGTGTTGTTCTGTTTTTGTTCACAGTTCGATGGAACCTGAATGACGAGCAAAAACACCAGAGGCTGAACTTCATGGAAAACTTGGCTACAGGTCTGGTGTTCATCATCGTGGTGGTCAACGTCTTCATCACAGCTTTTGGAGTCCATCGAACAAATTACAGCAACTGAACATGCACACACGCACACACACACACACACACACACACACAGACACACACACACACACACACACACACACACACGCACATGCGTATTTGTTTCTGCATGGATGGACTTGAGCTAACACACTCACACACTGCAGCAGCCTGTTTACATGTCAGTGCTGATGCTGTTGCGCTGCATCACAGAGGCA